GTCAGAATCAACTCGACAGCACACAACAACAACAAAGAGGGGTTGCCAAGAGAGTTGGGGTGTATATGAACCAAGATTGGACAACAGGCAAATGAATGCATTATATAATTCTATGTACTTTTCCATGTGTGAGGTTTTCCATTATAGAAAAAGGAAGTAAACATGAGGTGAAGAACTGTTACACATCATCTCTAGGTGTTCAGAAAATAATTTTTAATATAAACACACCCATTTCACATTTACTGATTATTCAGATAGTGTTAGCTTTGTTTGGTAAATCCTTCTCGTTTTCAGTCCAAATTCACCTAGTCCCTTTTAAAAACAATATTCTACAAAGCTTCATTGAATTCCATTCCAATAATATTTATAGGGCATCTTCTATATTCCAGGCTAAGAATTTAAAGAACATCAATAAACAAAACAGACAAAGATCTATTCTCTCACAAATCTTACATTCAAGTGGGTGGAAACATAAATAATGAATAAAATATTATGATAAATAGATATTATGGTCTTTGTTTGAAGTTGATAAATGCAGTGGAAAAAATAGTACAAGGTGGGAGTGAGCTGCATTTGATCCAGGATTTGAAGGAGTCAAAGAAGGGACTCTGAGTGAGAAAGAGCATACCATGCAGAGAGCAGCCAGTGCAAAGGCCCTTGGGTAGAAATGTGCCCGGGATGTTGAAGGAACAGTAAGGAGGCCAGAGTATGAGCAAACAGGTGAGGAAATAGCAGAGGCAAATAATGGCATTAAAGACAGAGCTCTTACTCTGAGATCAGAAGCCACTGGAGAGTTTTGAGCAGAGAATCTACATTTCAAAGACTCATTCTGGATGATTTGTTGGAAACAGTCCAAAGGAATGAATAGATGGAGGCTGAGAGATCAGGTAGAGGCACTGCAGGTGAGAGATGATGAGGGTTTGGGCAAGGTTGGTAGCAGTGGAAGTGGTAAGCAATGGTCAGACTCTGGATACAATGCGAAGGTAGAGCCAACAATCTTCTCTGACTCAATTATGACAGAGAGAAATCAAGGATGAATAACTCCAACGTTTTTGGCTTGAGCCATAGGAAGGATGGAGTCACCATTAACAGAGATAGAGAAGGTTGAGTATGGAATGGATTTGGGGGAGAGGTGGATCAGAAGTTCCATTTTGGATTTTCTCATTATGCAATGTCAAATAGACTGAAGAGCAAGAGAGAGCTCTGGGATGGAGTTTGGGGGGCATAAATGATGATATTTATAGCCATGAGACTGGCTGGAATCAGCTGAGGAGTGATTGTAACTAGAAGAGAACAGAGGATCAAGGCTGGGTCCTGGGACATTCTAGCACTAAAAGGTCAGAGTGGAGAGAAGGAACTGGCAAAGGAGACTGAAGGATGACTGGATGTAAGGAGGAGGGAAACCAAGAACATGTGATCTTCTAGAGCCAGATGGCTGCTCATCAAGGAAGCAAGCAAGACCAGCTGTGTTCAATGCCATCAGAGACCAAGATGAGGATGGACCACTATCCAGATACATGGCATCACTGTGATGTGTAAAAGACACCTAGATGGAGTGGGCAATGCCAACTCTGACTAGAAGGAACCTAAGAAAGAATTGTTGTTAGCTGTTGTCGAGTTGATTTTTTTTTTTTCAACTGTGGTGGAAGATTTTGGAAAAGGATGAAATTGACCCACCATGAAGAATGTCATCAATGTCACTGAATTGTAAGTGTGGAAGTTGTTGTATTAGTGAATGTTTTTGGTGTGCATATTTTAC